GGGGACCCCAGTCGGGCACTTGTACATCCTGTGGGTGAGGTAGCTCCCTGCGGTGCCAGGGGCAGGAATGGCCTGTCCGGGGATGTCCCCAGGGTCCCCTCTTACATCCCTGAGGCAGGTACTGACTACCGTTAATTCTGCAGAAATGGCTCCTGCGCGTTGGGAGGCTGTGGGTCCCCGAGGGAGCAGGAGAGGCGCAGGCTTATGGGGGAGGCGCTCGCACCTATGGGAGGCGCAGGGAACCCACTGCCCAGTTGAACGGCGCCTTCCCAGGGTCCAGCCCAGGCTGGTGCCCCTCAGTGGCGTGTGCTCAGGTGTGTGGACAGATGTGCACCGTGTGCGGGGCGTGGGCATGGCCTCCACGCTAGAGTCCTGTGTGGGGCTGGTGCAGTCTCAGACGCACCAGGCAGGTCAGGGGGACAAGCACTTTGTCCCCAAGGAGCTGCCCGCAGTGGTGAGGGACCACAGCCTGCGGACGCTCAAGGGCTGAGCGGGCCCTGGGAGGGTTTTAAGGGCAGCGAGAAGGGAGCCGCACATTTCTCCCTCGCTCATCCTCGCCTGCCCGCCCAGGCCGGCACCTGCCTATCTCATTCTCAGCCCGCAGCCGAGGCTGGGATTACCTGCTGTGCGTGGGAAGGCGCGGTTACGTGGGGGGGGGGGGGGGGGGGCAAAATGGGGGTCTGCACACACGGAGAGCCCACGGGGAAGATTCTGGATACCACACCCCAGGACAGCCTGGGTGGACTTTCCCTGACCACAGACTGCTGGCCCACGCCCTCTCCTGAGGGTTTTAACGGGCACCTTCACGGCCAAGCCACAATGTGCTGATGGAGAGAAGGCGACTAGAGAAAATGGTTCGCCCACTGAACCCTGCGGGAGAGGGAAGACGCGGGTGGGGAGGCGGCCGCGGGTGGGGAGGTAGCCGCGGGTGGGGAGGTAGCCGCGGGTGGGGAGGTAAGCGCGGGTGGGGAGGCGGCCGCGGGTGGGGAGGCGAACGCGGACGAGAAAGGGATGTTGAGAAGGCTGCTGGGGAGCCTGGCGGGAGCTAGTTCACACCCGCCTCGCTGAGCTGCGTGAGGATGAGGCCCGCACACCTGGCTTCCCGGTTTTGTGAAACGTATTGTATCATCATAGGGAAAACCACACAGGAAGGAAATGCATTCAAACTATCAGCAAAAAAAACTTACCAGCAGTTACTTTAAGACTAAATCCTCACCTGAGGCGAGAGCGAGATGCGAGGGAACATCAATGGCTGCTCACCTTGAACCAAACCCGCTACCTTGTGGTTCACGGGATGACGCTCCGACCAGCTGGGCCACCGGCCAGGACTAGCAGTGGTCACCTTTATCCAACGAAGCACTCCTCTTTCTTTATACTTTTCTCTGTTTTCAAATTTTAAAACATTTATAAGTGGGAACTGTGTATCTAAAAAGCGATACTTGTAAGGGTGGACACTGTGGGGCGTTACCTGACCTGAAGCTGCTGGAGCTGGAGAAAGGGGTGAAGACTCGGGCGATGCCTCCAGGAGGTGGTTGGGGGTGGGGTGGGGGGCTCAGGCGGCGGGCAGCCCTCCGGTGCCCGCGGGCAGGGCGCGCTCAGCTCTCGCGAGGCTTTGCAGGGAGGAACCCAGTAACGTCATCAAAATGCCCCCAATCCTCTGATTCTCGCGCAGGTGGAGGTGTGTGGGGCGCACATGGAAGCATGTGAATTCCCGCAGCGGGGAACGCAGAGTAACTTGTGGCCATTCTACACACAGAAATCTCACAGGCCCCAGCCAGTTTGCCCAGTGGATAGAGCAGGGGTGGGCAAACTTTTTGACTCGAGGGCCACAATGGGTTCTTAAACTGGACCGGAGGGCCGGAACAAAAGCATGGATGGAGTGTTTGTGTGAACTAATATAAATTCAAAGTAAACATCATTACATAAAAGGGTACGGTCTTTTTTTTTTTTTTTTTTTAGTTTTATTCATTTCAAACGGGCCGTAGTTTGCCCACGGCTGGGATAGAGTGTCGGCCTGCGGACCAAAGGGTCCTGGGTTTGATTCTGGTCAAGGGCACGTACCTTGGTTGCAGGCTCCTCTTGTTAATGTAAAAAACATTCAAACCTGTAAAGAATTTTTGTGAGGGTTTATTTGAGCCAAACTGTCGACAATTGCCGGGAAGCAGTATCAAAACGGATTGGGATAGTGCTCCGGAGAATGGCGGTTTCTCACCTATTTTTATACACTGCAGTCGAAGGAGGAGATGTAGGTGGGTTACAAGAAATCCACTGGTGATAGATTAGAGAGGCGGGAGAAAGCAAAGCGGGGAAACCTCTAGGACTGAATAAAAAGTAAAATAATAGACACATCACTTAGGTGGGGTAACAGTCAACAATTAACATGGTAACATAACAATGAAGGAATTTATGCTCTCTGTCCTGCGCCCAGCCTGGGGGTCCTGGGGGTCCGGAAGTTACAAGTTACCCTGACATTTCAAGGGTGTGTTATCGTAGATGCAAAAACAATTGGCTCAGTTAGGTAAAGGTGACCTTGCCAGGGAAGATACCGGCCTAGGAGGTGAGGTGACTACCCATCACAACTGCTTTTAGTTCAAGTTTAATTTCAGACCATCCTTGTGGTTACTTTAGGTCTTAGAGTTTGCAAGACCACCATGCAGGCCTTCCCTGAGCTGTCAGGTTAGCACGTGGCCCCTTTCGTCCACTCTCCGGCCCAGGCCCTATCCAGGGCGTGTGCAGGGGGCAATCAATGTGTTTCTCTCACATCGATATTTGTCTTTCCCTCTCCCACTCTCTCTAAAAAAATCAATGGAAAAATATCCTTGGGTGAGGATTAACAACAACAACAAATTTAATTCACTTAAAAAAAACAAAACCCTAGCCGGTTTGGCTCAGTGGATAGAGCATCAGCCTATGGACTGACTGAAGGGTCCCGGGTTTGATTCTGGTCAAGGGCACATGCCCAGGTTGTGGGCTGGATCCCCAGTAGGGGGCGTGCAGGAGGCAGCCGATCAATGATTCTCTCTCATCATTGTTTCTCTCTCTCTTCCTCTCTGAAATCAGTAATAATATAAAAAGAAGTACCTTATAAAAAATCAGTGGAGCCCTGGCCGGTTTGGCTCAGTGGATAGAGCGTCGGCCTGCGGACTCAAGGGTCCCAGGTTCGATTCCAGTCAAGGGCATGTACCTTGGTTGCTGGCACATCCCCAGTGGGGAGTGTGCAGGATGCGGCTGATCGATGTTTCTCTCTCATCGATGTTTCTAACTCTCTATCCCTCTCCCTTCCTCTCTGTAAAAAAATCAAAATATATGTTAAAAAAAAATCAGTGGAAAAATATCCTTGGGGAGGATTAAAAAAAATCTCACAGAAGGCCTAGAAAGGACAGATCAGAGCTATTTCAGAGCCACAGACCTGGAGAGGAAGGCAGAGAGCGGGTTGCAGGGCAAGGTCTGAAATCATTTTTGTAAGAACAAAGGCCCGAGCCCCTGTGCAGGTCTGGAGTTGCAGCATGCCAGCAGGTACGTGTGACTGTTACGTGGATGAAGAAAGATTGCAGCAGTTTAGGAAAAGAGCCATTACTTTAAAACCAAAATGGCCTTTCCAAGCGAGAGGCAACCATTACTTTAAAACCAAAACGGCCTTTCCAAGTGAGAGGCAACCAGCCTCTACTTGAAATCAGTGAGAACAGCTCCGCAAGAATGACTAATTCCGGCGGAAGCCCAGAGTGTTCGGATTAGGAGACAAAGCAGGAGCACGGAGAAGGGGAGGGGACAGTCACCCAGAGAAGGAAGGCGTTGCTTAGGTGCAGCCAAGCTAACAGTGATGTTAATGAAGTGTCCCCAAGTTTCAGCTGCACGTCAGGTAAGCGAATCTGCTTTCTTGTATCTTTGCACAATTCTTTGGGACACGGTGTCGCCCTAGGCCCAGTCCAAAAGTCATTTTAGCCATTTTAAAATTCCAAAGATTTGAGGCCTCAGGTAACCAAGGTGGTTCCTCTGGGATGGCAGCTCCGGCTCTGTTGTTGTTAAATGATTGAAACTGTAAAGGCTCTGATATTGCTGCAAATGTGCAACATGCCCAGGAACAAGGACTAGGCAGCACAGGTAACTTTAAAACGCACCGACCCCATGGGAGGATTTATCTCAGAACACAGGTGACCCTCCAACAGCGCGGGTTTGAACGGTGCGGTCCACCTATGCGCGGATTTCTTTCCATGGACCCTCTCAGTTTGAACCTGCGTGTTCAACGTGCCACTGGCGCTGGGAATCCAGGCATGTGATGAGGGGCGACTGGAGTGAGACTCGGTTTCCGACTGTGTGGCGGTTGATGCCCCCTTACTGCATTGCTCAAGGGTCAGCTGTACTTTTTTCAGACATACAAAAATAAATAAATAAAACACTCAATAAAATATTGCAAACAGCAGGAGAGGGATAGCCCTGTTTTATTAAAGTTTTGAGCTCCCACCTGTACCCAGAATGCCCTCCAGGACCTGGGGCCGATTCCTGCAGGTGGGAGCCTGGAACCCAACAGGAGGTGCTGTGATGGGGAGGAGGCCCTCCAGCCGTAGGGCAGGACCCAACGCTGGGCTCCTCTGCCAGGCGGGCGCCCTCTGCTCTGCAGCTTTTGTCTCCAGGACTCGGAGGGTGAGGTTTCTCCCATTCTCACCCAACCTTCAGGGAGGTGGGGCAGAGCTTCTGCAAGTGGCTCTCAGGGAGCACCTGCTGCAGCAGCCTGGAGGAGGGGCTGACCACAATTTCTCAAAGGACATTTTGTGCTAAAAAAAACCAAAAAATAAGCCACTTGTGCCCAACCCGGGCCACTTCTCTCCCGGGCAGGGGAGGAGGGAAGAGCTTCCTCCCCAGCGGCTGCTGCAATGGGATCAGATCCTGTGGACCCCTGTGGAGTGGTGCTTAGATCACTCACCCAGGAATCTGGGGACCCCGTGGTGCAGCCTGTGGTTTCGGGGAGCAGTGGGGCCATGCGAACAAACAAAACCAGCGGGGAGAGTGCACAAACATTTATTTACAAAAGTCCAAGGTACATATGATACAGGCTCTGTACATAGTAGTTAAAACAGGGTTATTTTATGTTTTTACTACCAGAAAGTAAAGAAAACATTTAGTAATCATTTCTGCTATTTTTATAAAGTGACAGGTCATGCACTTTTAAGTTTTAAAATCCTTTGCGAAGTGCAAATACTAGATTCCTCTCTCCAGTTTTAAGGCAAGTGGAGTGGGACTGTCGCTGGGCAGTATCTGGCTCTGGGGAGCACTCTGCCCAGAGGGGAAGGTGTCAGGCACCACTGAGCCTCCTGCTTGGTCCCCAGAAAGGGGATGATCTCTGTGAGTTCCTGGCACTTGCATTTTGCAGCCACTCACTGGCTTGTCAGATGATTATGGCCCCATCTCTGCCCCAAACCCCATCACTAGTACGACTGCTCCTTGAGGACCCGGGAACCAGGTCCTGCCTCCAGGGCCCTGAGGTGTCTAGAGGGTCAGGCAGGGTTGAACTCATGACCCGTGAGCCCCCACTGGCAGGAATGCCTCCTGGGGAGCAGGGTGGGTGAGCAATAACCAGAATTCTCCAAGGACAGGTTCTCAGGTTGGCCTGGGGGGACCATTACTCTGCTTGTTGCATGCCAGGTCTCTGGGGACTTGCTGGTTGGCAGTGACAGGCGCATGCTACCTGCCCCAGGCCCTCCATGGAGCCACATAGCCCGCTGTGGGCCAGAGGTGGAATGAACCCACTCAGGCCTAGGCCAGGGTGAGCGCTGTCACTAGCGGAGCAGGGCAGTGCATGGGCTCACCCTTCCCACGGGCGGGATGTCTGTTGGGGGCTCACTGTTCTCAGAGACCCCCCTTTGGGGAAGAAAGCAGAGGGCACATGCTTTCTTAGGTCCTGTCACTGCCATTCAGGCTGGCACCGAGGTGCAGGCAGCCCCCGGCAGCGGGGACCAATGCAGGCCTGTCCTCATGGGTCCCACCTCATGCCCAGGTGCCCGGCTGCCTGCACAGCCTCTCCTGAGGAAGGGCAGTGCGGGGCAGCTTAGCACACTTATCCATTCTAATTCTGGAAACACATCTGAGAGGCTGAAGGCAGCAGGTGGCCACACGCAGTGCTGCTCGCGTCCTGCTGCGGTGAGCAGGCCTGGGTGGCGCAGCCTCTGGAACAGGGACAGGGAGGGTCGTCGGCTCCCCCTCCTCTCTGAGGCCTGTAGTGCCCTCTGAACTTCTGGGAACCCCCCGGACATCAGACACAGCAGTGGAAACTGGGCCAACACAGGGAGCCAGGCAGGCTTGGCCCCAGCGGAGGCCCCTGCTCTGCACACGGCTGGGGCAGGGACCCCAGAGCCTCAAGGAACCTCAGGACAGGGCAGCGGCCAGGCCTGCCGAGCACCTGGCGGGGGCAGCACCTTGGGCGGGTACTGAGCACAAGCTGGGGCCTCTGTCCCCCTGGAGAAACCCACCGCCCCCCAGAGCCTCAGGGGAGCTGCTCCCACCTGGTTGCTGACAGAGAAGGCTCCCCGGGAACTGCTGCTGCAAGAACCACCAGACCCGGTACAGCTGCCCCAAAAAGGCCTTCCATTTGGCAGAGTCTCAGGGCCGTCCGGCTGCCTGACCTGGGATAAGGTGACTTCGGGAGACTAGTGGGCCACGGAAAATGGTAAATGCAACGTAGCAAATGTGAACATTTTAGGTAAGTCACAGAACAGAACCCACAGCACGATGGTCTCACCTGAGCAGGCCGAGAGGAGAGGACAGACCTCTGAGCCGCCACCAAGGTGGCGCCCTGGGGTTCTGGACGTGGGGGACATGGTCTGTAGCTTCCCCACCTTGTATGGTGCTCTTGGGCCTGTGGCCACTGCTCTGCCCTCTTCACGGGGTCCAGCCGCTCAGAGTGCCTCACTCTGGGGCCCCAGTGCAAGGGGTGCTACGGCATTGGCCTGGGCGACACGACTCTCACCTCTCCGAACGGCACTACTTGTTGCTTCAGCTTTATTAGGAACCTGACAGCTGTGGCGAGGAAGGCCTGTGCGGTTTCTCATCGAGACACCTGTTGTCTGGTGACAAGGGGATGGAGGCAAACCTTCCCCCGTCTCTCTCTGCAGGGAGAGGTAACGGAGCAGAGGTGACCACCTGCACCAGGGGCCATTGCACTGGCTGCTAGGATGGCAGACCTCTTCGGAAGGGGGTGTGGCTGCCCCCGAGCTCTGGACAGCAAGAACTAGCCTGCCAGCCACTCTTCCAGGGGAAGTGGCCCTTCTTTGGAAGGGGAGGGAAGACCGGCCTATGCTTTTAGGAGTCAAGCCCATCATCCCTACCTAGAGAGCCTGGCACAGCCACTGGCTGCGGGGTGGACGGGGGATCTAGCCAAGCCCCGCCTGCACACGCTGCTCAGTGGGGCTCCGAGGGGCAGGGCGAGGGTGTCAGAAGCGATGGCGCGGCTGGGGGCCAAAGTGCATGGGCAGGTTGTGCTCCAGGGGCAGGTGGACGGGGGCAAACTCGTAGTTGACCCGCACATTGGGCAGAGGAGGCACGTAGGGTGCCGGGATGGGACCCATGTTGAGGGGGAAGTTGTTGAACATGGGCCGGACGGGCGGCAGGGCGAAGGGGGGGTGCACGAAAGCGTAGGCCGGGATCTGCGGCTGGTGCAGGTTCTGCGGGACGGGCCTCGGCAGGGCTTCCATCCTCTGGACTTTCTCTGGCGGCTTCTCTAAGGGGGGCCCGATGCGCTTGAAGGTGTTCTCTGAGGAGAGAAAACAGGATGAGCTGAGACTCCCCTTTAGAGCCAGGGCCTGAGGCCCTCACAGGAAGCCATGTCATGCTCTGTGGCCTCAGGGTGGGCCTACTGCCTTAATCTGGTTTGGCTGCTACTTGTTCTTAAGCTGCAACCTACCCCTTGGGACCTGCCTGCCATCAAGGAGGTGCTGAAACTGTATCTAAGCTCTCGGGCTTCCCACAGGGAGCAGGACGGGATGAAGTGTGTCTACAGCCACCTGAGATCGAACTCCCGGGTGGTCCCTGGCCGGGCAGGGCCTGTGGAGGGGAAGGGGGAGAAGCACTTGCCTCCGTTCTTTCTTTTCTGTTCCTCTTCGGCTTCCTTCTGGATTTCCTCAATTAGCTTCTCATCATCTTCCTAGAAGAACAACAAGGTGATAAGCTGGCTCTCCAGCAGCTGCATGCAGTGTGGAGGCCCCACC